CTATCTGTAGATTTAGAATCATTTCTAATTTTTCATTTATTTTGTCATTTTGTTCTTGTATTTTCTTGCAAAATTCTTTTAAGGTTTTTTTCTGTGTTTCTTTGGTCTGTCTCTTAATCCTTTGAAGATACCTAAAGATAATTCTTTTGAATTCCTTATCAGAGAGTTCCAATGCTGCTTCTTCCTCAGTGATATGTTCTGAGTCTATATCCTGCTCCCTTGTTTCTACCACTTGATCCTGCTTCTTTGTGTGGACTGTGATGGTCTGTTGTCTCCGAGACATCATTGCATTGTTCTGTTTAGATCTCTGTTAACTGTTTGTGAAGAACAGCCAAGGGTGATTCAGGCTCTTCCTGGTGGTGTTTTACCGTTTGCCTTTTCAGTCTTGCAGGTCCAGAATGTCCTTGGAGTTGCTGGAAAGGAGAATGTGTTCTTATGCCCCAGGAATATGCTAGAGTGCTGTCTCTTTAAATACCCAGAATAGTGAAGCCGCTTTTAAGGCTTCAAAATGGCGGTGGCTTCCGGACTGGCAAAAGTCCACAACTCATCCTGCCTTTCTCTTCACCTTCTCCGTTTGTTCCCCAGCCACCGAGCACAGTCCTCCGTGCAGTCCCTGGCTAGCAGGGCTGATTTTTCTGTTAATTTTTAGGTCCTACTACCATTCAGGAATCTCCAAGCTGTCTGTACTCTCAGGATCGTTGCGAGACCGCAGCTCCGTCTGTCTCCTTTTCTGGTATTTTCACACAAATTCTGCTAGTTGTGGTTTGGTCCACTTCTGTATCCTTCCCTTCAAGGCTTAGGGATCCAGGATTATCTTCTGTGTCTGTGTTAATTGGTTTCCCTTTTCTTTGTTGAAGAGGTCTGTGCAGTCTTTCTGCCTAGTCCGCCATCTTGCCAGAAGCTTATAGACCCTTTTTAACTGTTTATTTGAGAAATGTGGTTTAGAAAATTCAACTGATACAAGTGGAACACACCAAAAGTCTGAAGCTAAAAAACAAAATGAGTTTTAACCACTTAGTTTCAAAATATCTAGTCAACAAATTTTCTTCTTAGGGATTTTTATATGGGTATGGACCTTTGAGTACCTGGAAATTTTTGCTGTCCATCAGTGGACTATTGGAATGTATTGGGGAAACCTGAAGTACTTTTACCCACTGTGGGTGAAAACAAAGGTGTTCACTTTTGTTTCTTTGCTTTTCGTTTCAGGAAGTTTGTGGATAAGTTAGTGTAACTTCTATATCCCTCTTAGTGTATCTCATTTACCAAATGGAGGCAAAAGATTAGCGCTAGTTGTTAGAGGAGTCCCTGGGTGGCCCAAACAGTTAAGCATTTAATTGTTACCTTAAAGATTGGCAGTTTGAACCCACCTAGAAGTGCTCAGGCGGTTCAAACCCACCAGCCACTCCTTGGAAGGAAGGTTGGGCAATCCTACTTCCGTAGTGATACTGCCTCGGAATCCCAAGGAGAAGTCGCTATGAGTCGGGCCGACTCGACGGCACATAACAACAACAACAACAGAAGTGCCTTGGAAGGCAGGCCTGATGCTTGCTTCTGAAAGGTCACAGCCTTGAAAACCCTATAGAGCAGTTCTGTTTTATACATGTGGGGTTGCCATGTGTCAAAATTGACTCAGTGGCAAATAATGACAACATTGGTAAGAGGAATTTTAGAGCTCATTAAAGGAGAAAGAATAGCTAATACTCAGTTCTCCTGTTGCTTGGATGAATTGAGTAAAATAATGTTGTTTGTTCCAAGGAAAATTCTGTAACATACACATACACACACACACAAAGCTATAACCTGTTTTTCTGTTAGAGATGAAGATGACATCAATGATGTGACTTCCATGGCAGGGGTCAACCTTAATGAAGAAAATGCCTGCATCTTAGCGACACACTCTGAATTGGTTGGCACATTCCTTCGTTCTTGTAAAGATGAACCATTTCTTTTCATTGGAGCTCTACAAAAGAGAATATTAGACATTGGTAAGTGCAAAGTTGTTATTCTTCACTTAGTAGGATCGTCTGTTTGAGGAAAAATGTTATCAAAAGAAACTGCCTAGGTTGGTTGTCTTGGAGTTCTGTACCTTTAATAAGGCTCAGGGGATCAAGATTGCATGGATGTTATAGAAAGAAGTACTTTATTGAAAAAATTATTAATATAATATTATGTGGCCTATCGTTTCTGATTTAGACAATAACAAATATTTATTCATATTTTTTAACAGGAATGTATGTGTGTGTTTATAGAATTTATGTATATATGACATAATATATTTTTTTTCTGTCCTGTTCCTTTCTTGGATAGTCTTTATACATGTGTGTGTATAAATGCATACTTTTGTTACATGTGTGTTTATGAAATATAGAAACAGCCATTGAGAGTAAGTCTTTTTTTCCCTACTGAAATTTAAACCCATCCTTGCCTTAAAATAACTAAATTAGAATATTAGTGTTCTCTGAAGTGTTCAGGAGTAGTTGTTAGGTAGCTGCACTGCATTAAAGAAAATGGAAGAGAACATACCAATATTGCGGAGTCAACGTTCTTTTTTTACTTGTTTAATTGCAAGCTTGCAGTAACGTGAAGGAATACCAAAACCAAACCTACTGCCGTTGAGTCAAGTGCAACTTACAGTGGCCCTATAGGACAGAGTAGAATGCCCCATGGGATTTCTAAGCCTGTTCATCTTTATGGGGAAGCTCTGGTGGCATAGTGCCTAAGGCATTTGACTGCTAACCAGAAGGTTGGCTGTTCAAACCCACCAGCCACCCCTCGGAATGAAGACTGGGCCATCTACTTCTGTAGAGATACCGCCTTGGAAACCCAAGGGGAGGGGTTGCTGAGTCGGAGGCGACTCAGTGATAATGAGTGAGTGAAAACTTTATGGAAGCATATTGCCTCCTCTTTCTCTCACGGAGTGGCTGGTGGTTTTCAGCTGCCAACCTTTTGGTTTTAACCTTTTGGTTAAAGCTATATGCTTAACCACTACACCACCACAGTGCCCATGTAAGACTATAGTCTGCGTGAATTAACTGAAAAAACACAGATGGTGAAATATTATGTGTACCAATTTTTCTCATTTTTTATGTCTTGACTGAAATTTACTGGAGACCAGTTCTCATGTCAAATTTTAAGGGGCAGTGCTTCCTCACTTGGAGAGGAATTCAGTTTTATTACAAAGTAATGAACTGTATTTTGAAGACTTGATGTAAGAAAAGGTAGATTGTTTTATATCCGTCTTCTTTCTATTTGATTTGCTACTGACTGCATTTTGAATTAAAGTTTAACATTTATTGTGTAATAATGTCCAAAAAATGCATATGATGCATTGATATACATTAATGAAAGCATATGTTTGCTGTATGTATTATTTCACTCTAAGATGAGAATACTGCAAATAAAGCAGAGTGGAAAATCAAGTAATACTAGTTAAAAAATTTCTTTGTGCATATGTTAAAAACAAAACAAGAGCACTATCAAAAACTCCATTTATATTGGACTATTAGTTGCTTGTATTTTTACATTTAGGTTTCTGTTGATACAGGTGGTTTTACTGCACCTCAAAAATACTATTTAAATGCTGATAAGGTCGAATTATAAATGAGCTGCCTTTGGGTATGTGGTTCAAATTGTTTTTTCCTTAAACTTTGTTCCTAGTTAGTGGAAGGTAGGAAAAACCTTTGGGTCATTAGAAAGGGGATACCTTGAGCTCTGGTAGCATAGTGGCTAAGGCGCTTGACTGCTAACCAGAAGGCTGGTGGTTCAAACCC